CACACAGCCTTTCTCTCTCCAGAGTCTAGAATCCTCAGCTGCTCCCTCTCTCCATGTCCTCATCTCTGCCTCCATCTCTGGTGTCGCAGCTTCTCTGGATAGGGTTCTGCATTCTACTCATGCTCTTCTCCCTTGATGGTCCTAGGGTCCTCTGTTTCTGGACTGTAAGATTAACTACTCCCCTTTTTTTTTGTTACAAAACTTCTACCTTTACAGTTGTGACAGTTGAAATTAGTCATGATAACAATTACTCACTATTGAATCCTAAGTATCTTATCCCCATCTCCTTTCACCAGATCCGTTTAGACAAATGAAAATCATTCAGTGGGGGTTCTACACTAACTTTAATAACGACTGTATATTGAACTGCCCACTACATGCCAACCTCTTAACATATATTATCCATTGTTGTTGTTGTTGTTGTTAAGTGCTGGCCAGTCAGTTCCAACTCCTAGCAACCCTGTATACAGTTCCTGAAGAGCAGCTGGTGAGTTTGAACTGATGATATTGGGGCTAGCAGTCCAATGCTTATTCTATAGCACCACACGAGGACGAGGAAGGGTATAGCTGAAGACTGTGGCTGTCCCATCCTCCTGCCTTGGGCCTCTTGTGTGTTCTTCAGACTCCCAGCTGCCAGTGTGGGCACCTCTGTGTCTTGATGGGAATTTTTGAACCATGGAAATAAGCTCTGACCTCATTTGCTGAAAGACTGAGCATCACCCCTCCTCCATGGCAGGCCATGATTGGCAGAAGCAGCTGTGTAATTCTCAAGTGTGGGTCTCACACCCAGAGCTTTAAACTGGTTCAAACCAATTCAGTCATGGCTGATGAAGAGAAACCTGAATGGGCAGGAATTTGTAAGACGTGGTTGTCCGGAACGAGAACTGGCATAGGAACAATTATGGCTTGAAGTCCTGACATGGAAGACTTGGAGGAGGCGTTGTTCATCCTTTCAGCAGCCTAATGCAGGAGAATGGGTTATTGTCATTGTTACCCACAAAACTCTGGGTCCCCCTTTACCCAGTGAGACAGAAGTAGATAAAGACATACCCAGGTAAAGAGTAGAAGGAACAGACATTATTTAAGTTTATCCATAAGCCTGAGCGGCCCCCCCAGATTTGGTCTGTCTTTAGGGGCTCCTTTTTTGTCTTTAGCTGTTTTGAAGTAATTGATTTGCTCTTTTACCACATACTCCACTATAGGTCTAACTTGTAAGGTGGTAAAAAAGGATATAACTGCCTACCAACAAGAAGTCTGTTCATTATACTAATAAGAAAGTAAAGGCATACACACACACACATTCATACAAACACTGTGCACACATTCTGTTGTTGGAAACCCAAAAGCTGAGAGTGGGTTGTAGCATGATTTAAGAATCCATTTCAAATTAAGGCCAAGCAACCGCGGAGTCCTGGTGTGGTGCTGTGGGATGATGCGCCAGATGGCAAAGGCATTTGAACTTCAAGGTCGGCGGTTCAAGCTCGCCAGCTGCTCCTCAGAAACCCTATACAGGGTCGCCCTGGGTTGGAATTGACGCGACAGCATTTAACAATGACAACAACTGCTTACTGAGTGGACAGCTAACCTCAGGAGGAAGCACTTTGGTGACATGAAGGGCAACACTTACAGAACAAATCTCTGGTCTCTACGGAGCGTTGACGAAGCTACAGAGCTAGTGAGATTCCAGACTCCTGGTGTAGCACTGTGGGTTGATGTGCTGGACTGCAAGGTCAGTGGTTCAAGCTCACCAGCCAGTCTTCAGAAACCCCATACAGGGTCACTGTGGGTTGGAACTGACTTGACGGCATGTAACAGCAACAAATGAGACTTCAGACATGCCTAACAGAACTGGAGTTTTGCAATTCTCCAGATGAAGTTCCACTGTGATGAACACCACCGCTAATACAAAATAAACATTCTAATCTTGGAACAACACATACACTTTATGTAAGTTATAAAACATCAAAAGTGGGTCACGATACTCCATGTCTCAAATGGATTTTCAAGGTTTGACACAGATACTTTTTAGCTTAGGATAAAGATGTTTCTTTATGAGAGTGAAATCCTTTTAGCCACATAAATAAAATCAAACCACCAATGTAAATGCTTACTCTGTTATACATGCAATCTCATGTGATTATAGGTTAAACATACACAATAAGGGATAGAAAGATGGTGAACTTAAAATACTTACACATCCTCTGGTATGGGGTGTACCTCAATGTAAAGAAAATAAAAGTCCTCACCATTGAACCAATATACAACGTCCATATAAATGGAGAAAAGATTGAAGTTGTCAAAGACTTAATTTTGCTCAGATCAACCATTAACACTCATGGAAGCAGCAATCAAGAAATCAAATGACATATTGCATTAGGCAAATCTGCTGCACAAGACCTCTTTAAAGTGCTCAAGAGCAAAGATGTCAGTTTAAAGACTAAGATGTGCCTGGTTCAAGTCATGGTATTTTCAGTATCCTATCATGTATGTGAAAATTGGACAATGTAGACTGTAGAAGAATTCATACATTTGAGTTTTAGTGTTGGAGGAGAATATTAAAAGTACCATGGACTGCCAGAAGAACCAACAAATCTGTGTTGGAAGAAGTACAGTCAGAATGTGCCTTAGAATCCAGGGTGGTGAGATTTCATCTCTCATACTTTGGACATGTTATCTGGAAAGGACCATTCACTAACAACAGCAACACGTATGTCTCATTAAAATGTTGAATCTCCACCCAGGTGTGTGGTTTTTAGTATACTAAACTGGATTGCTCCTTGCAAGTGAAGATGGCAAGATTTCATCTCTCATACTTTGGACATGTTGTCAGAATGGACTAATCCTTGGAGAAGGACATCCTACTTGGAAAAGCGGAGCATCATTGAGAAAGAGGAAAATCCCCAACGAGATGGACTGACACAGTGGCATCAACAGTGGGCTCAAATGAACAATTGTGAAGATGGCCCACAACAGGGCAGTGTTTCAGTCTGTTGTACATAAGGTCGCACCTAACAACAACAACAACAGCAATATCTCTAGGGTCAATGACATGAGGTTTACACTTTTTCTTTCTCTCTCTTTTTCATTGACATCAGCAGGTTTTATCGCCACCTGGTTCTTCATAAAATTGCATTCTCAATATCCTTATCTCATTGAAAGGAATGTCGTAAAACTCTTTCAAGGACATTCCTCTAGTGGATGACCTGCATGCACAGTACTGTGCAGAGCGACACACAACCAAAGAAGTGTGGTCAGCTGCCACCGGTCAGCAGAGCACCAGTGTTTCCAACTCAGCCAGGCAGGAGATTTGGTTGCTTTGCAACACACATGCTCTCCTTGTTTCCTAAAAAGGAGATTACATTTCTAGAAAATGTTCCTATCCAGTGATCGTTCCAGGAACTCATATTTTACAAATTCTTGTCCATCCCAGCTTCGCTTTACTGGCAATGACTGAACAGGAGAGAACAAGTTCAGAGCCCTGTTTACCCCATTTCCTGGTGGAGTCAGCTCTGATCACCCTCTGTGGTTCTCGCCTGATGTTGTTGTGTTGCTGTTAAGGGCCATTGAGTCGGTTCTGACCCATGGAGACCCTGTGTAGGGTTTCTAAGGAGCAGCTGGTGAGCTTGACCGCCAGCCTTTCGGATCAAACCGACTTTGCAGTCCAGTGCATTAACCGGCAGTATCACACCAGGCCTGATAGTGTGCTCTTATTGGTTCTCTTCCCCTCCTCCTTATATTACCTCCCCATTCTCCTAGTGTTGGTCTCTGTGCTCCCCAAATATTATATTTACATTCAGATCTTTGTTTCAGGGTCTACTTCTATGTAAAACTCAACCAAAGTGTCAAGATCTTTTTATCCACATTCTACAGGTGAGAAAACGGAAGCTCAGAGAGATTAAATCAAGATCAGGCAGTTTGTAAAGCAGTATTGGTATTAAACTTAGTGGTTTTGATGTGTGCACATATGTTTGTGTGATGTTTCTCCCGAATTCGTTGAAGCCAGAAATAATCCCTTTCATTCCACAGTGTTTTTATCTGTTAAGAGTGAGAAGGATGAGGCTTTCTGCTCCTGTAAAGATTTATAGCTTCAGAAACCCTATACAGGGTTACTATGAGTCAGAACCGACTCCAGGGGACACCACCGTCAGCACTGAAATGTTCACATGGCAACCCTATCCCCTAGGAAAATAAGCATAGGCAAGACACAATCACCATCAATGGAAAAATCACATTGTACCAGGTTCGCTATTTGGGAACATCAGTTGGGTCTTCACTGTTTCTTGACATACAAACCACACAGCATTCATGGAAAAAAAGTAGGGTTCTTCTTTCTCACTTCCCATTCCCTTTTTCTCATCAAAATAAGAGTGAAAGCCCCACTTTAAAGACAGATAAAGCCTCCATCTTCAAAGGAGCAAGGAGCAAGTGTGTCACAGAACAGAACAGCTCAAAGTCATATTGTTACTAAGGAATGAAAGAAGCCATGGTGATCCTTCATGACTTTCTCTGGACAAAAACCAATGAGTTCCTGCGTGTCCCATGAGAAGTGTCCAGAGAGGGCCCACTGTTGTCATTTGCCAACTTGGGAGTATTAGAAGTGGGACAAGGCTGGAGTGTTCCCAACATGCCAAGGAATGGCCACCATTGACGTTCATCCATCCTTAGACAGACAGTCCTGAGGTCCCACTGCAAGCCCAGAGGGCTGACAAAAGCCACTGGAGACCATGGTGCCAGCAGGCATGTCTTAGGTGCCCTGAGCTGAGCTGCAAAGTCTGAGTTGCAGGGGAAAAGACTTTTCCTTCCAGGGAAAGACAGGGGCTTAGTGAGTGCCAAGGAGTAGGTCTCTCCTGCCTCCGGTTCTCCATTGAATAGACACCGCTTCTGAAAGTGATGCTGAGAAGCAGAAAACAATCTCTTTGTCTACAAATGTCTGGTTTCTCAGACTTCACGCAGCCAGTTGAGGAGGTGAGGCCTAGGACCAGGGCTGGAGGCCAGTGTGATTAGATGGTGATGTTGTTGGCAGGGTGTCTTTGGACAGCGGCCTTTCTCCTTAGGGCCTTGGCTCCAGGGGCGGCCTTCCGCTTGGCATCTATGTTCTTCATATACCTCTGGACCCACTTCTGCTTGGGGTCACCACAGAATTTCTTGCCCTTCTTGGTGGTGAAACTGTGGGAAGAGTAATAGGTTGCACCTGAGATCTGGCACGGACCACCATGTGCAGCCACTTCACCTTGGGGTGCTGGGGTGAGGGACCTGGGGATTGAAGAGGTGAAGTGTGTGCCCAGCAAGTACTGACACGTGTCTTCTATCTGTGTGGCTGGATCTGTTTCAGCGTTGGAAAAAAGAATAGGTGGTGATGAAAGATGAAGTGTTCAAGGTCAGGGGACTCCCTGTAAGGTAATGGAGGTGGTTGTGGGTGGGGTGGGAGAGGGACGGAGGCTCAGCCCTGCCTTTGGATAGTACAGAGTCTGAAGGGAGACACACAATCTCTGCCACAGGAAGGATACAGTAGAACATGGAGTAAGGACCCCCAAGAAAAAAAGGCAGATATCCCGATCTGTAAGAATGTGTGGCTGAAAAAATGATGTCAGAGCTGGAAGAGAGATGAGTTGTCCTCCTTTAGGCCAGCTCTGAGTGGGAGTGATGTCATCTATGGAACAGATCTGGGGGTCTGGTGCCTCTTGGGAGAGGTTAAGAGTACTAAGTCACATTTCTTTTGCTCCCCCCTGTCTACAAATGGGCTTGTTATGGGGTTATTTGGGGTCTAGAGACCTGGCTTCCTCTGTAAACTTGAGCAAGACCCCTTTCTGAGTCTCAGCTGCCTTTTGCAAAATGGGGAGAATCATGCCGACCCCACAGAATTGTTGAGAAGATTAGTTATGTTCATGTTATATGCCCTGAGTAAGCTCTCGTCTATTTGCTGTTATTGTTAAGTGCCATCGAGTTGGTTCCGGCCCCTGTATAGGCTTCCGAGGAGTGGCTGGTGAGCTTGTACCACCAACTTTGTGATTCAAACCGACCTTGCAAGCCTGTGCATTAATGCACAACACTATACCAGGACTCTATCTGGTGCTCAGTAAATAATTACTGAATGAGAATCCTCTCTAGTTTTACAGGTGAGGAAGCTGAGGCTCAGAGGGCTAACGGGACTTCTCCAAGGATGCACAGAGCTGACTCCCCCTGTATTAGTCCTCAGTGACCCTGAGAGCTCATCCCTGTCCCTCTCTTGCCAAGTACCCACTTACATCACCCCTGCCTTGGGGCAGACACTTCCACTGGACAGCGTGTAGGTTGCCACAATGCCCTCGGGAACTTGCTTGGAAACAAAGGTCATGCAACAGGAAGAGGGAATGACCACGGATCCTAAAAAAAGCAGAGAGAGAAAAGGTACATGCTTGCCAGATAAATGTAGATACTGAGCCTGTCCCCTGTCTGCCGCTGACCCTCTGTCATTGTTCCTCTCCAAGTCCTGGTGTGGCGCTAATGTGCCAGACTGCAAAGCCGTTTGAACTGCAAGGTCGGCGGTTCAAGCTCATCAGCTGTTCCTCGGAAACCCTATACAGGGTTGCTACGGGTCGGAATCGGCTCGACAGCAGTTAACAACAACAACAACAATCTCAGGCTGATCAGTCTTCCACCCTCCCCTGCATCATCCCCACCGGGCCAGGCTGAGGCCTTACCTGCAGGGCTAATGTGGTAGGTGCAGAGGGCCAGAAGCAGGAGGCTGGTTATGAGGGTCGCAGGGCCTGCCATGTCCTGGAGAGCAGAGGAGGAGGCAGTCTGGAAAGGAGGGCCTGATTGATATCTTGCAGAGCTCCATATCCTCTCTTTACCTTTTATAGAAGCAGCTACGAGGAAACATGCTGATACAGTCCCCCACCTCCTTCCCCTGTCAGGCTTCCTCCAAAATCCTAGAGGCCCCTGAGGTCTCAAAAGAGGAAGTGGTTGCAGTTGACTCAGGAGTTATTTTGAACACTCTGGTGGCACAATGTTTAAGCATTCAGTTGCTAGCCAAAAGATCAGTTATTTTAACTTACCAACAGCTCCATGGGAAGAAAGACCTGTCTTATCTCTTTCCTTAAAGATTGTTGTTGTTGTTATGTGCCATCGAGTCAGTTTCAACATAGCGACCCTGTATAGGGTTTCCGAGGAGCAGCTGGTGAGCTTGAACAGCTGAACTTACAGTTCAAACAGCTTTGCAGCCTGACGCATTAACCCACAGCGACACTCCAGGACTCCTCCTTAGATTGGTTTTTTGGTTGGTTATGTGCCATGGAGTCGGTTCCGACTCATAGCAACCCCGTACAGGGTTTCCGAGGCTGTAAATCTTTACGGGAGCAGAACGCCTCATCTTTCTCCCGCGGAACAGCTGGTAGTTTCGAACAGCTGACCTTAAGGTTCACAGCCTGATTTGTAACCACTACGCTACCAGATTACAGACTAGGAAATGCTATGGGCCAATTCTACCCAGCCATATGGGTCTCTATGAGTTAGCACATAACAAGAAAGATCTGGTGGGGGGTACCACCCTGCCTGGGTGAATGAACAGTCCAGAGGCTGACCGAGGTCCTAGTGATGCTTCTAATTTGCGGTGGGGTCTTGGGTAAATTACTTACATTTCTGTACCTTGGTTTCTTCAGCTGAAAATGGGTAAATTCATCCCTAACTCCATTCTTCCTTTCTTCCTTTCTTCCATCCATTCATCAAACTTTTTTTTTTTTCACAGCATAACAAAGGTTACATTGTACACACAGCTATATCCAATATAAATACAGAAAACAAAATTCTATAACTGTTGAGGAAAATAGCAGTTCTTCAGTGGTGGAGGTTTTCTGAATTGGGTAATTAAGCTTAGATTCAAGCCTTCCTCCCTCTTTCTCTACTATTTTCTGGAGTTTGTGGTCTCCTATTCTTTTGACCAAACAGCTTTCTACAGCTGGTGAAGTGTGTGAAGGAGTTAATTCCTTTCTCAAAGACCAAAGAAGTCCAGACAGCCCTTGGGTTGTGTTACTGTTGAATATATACAAAGAAGTTGTTGTTGTTAAGTGCCATCGAGTCGGTTCCGACCCATAGCGACCCTGAACAGGGTTTCCGAGGCTGTCAATCTTTACGGGAGCAGAACGCCTCATCTTTCTCCCGCGGAGCCGCTGGAAGAGATACACTTATTTAGCTACATTAGAAATTCTCTGCAGTGCTTTTTGTATTAAGTCTATGTTCCTTTCTAGGTAAGCTCTGAGTGATAATGTTTGGGCATATGCTTCAAACAAAATAATGAAGCCCTAATTAAACGACATCAAGGACTTCATTCTTCTTGGGATCAACTATCAACACTCATGGAAGCAGCAGTAAAGAAATCAAACGACGTATTGCATTAGGCAAATCTGCTGCACAGGAACTTTTTAAAGTGTTGAAGAGCAAAGATGTCAGCTTGAGGACTAAGGTGCATCTGCCTGAGCCATGGTATTTTCAATAATGTCATATGCATATGAAAGCTGGACATAGAATAAGGAAGACCATAGAAGAATTGATGCCTTTGAGTTGTGATGTTGGAGGAGAATATTGAAAGTGCCATGGACTGCCAAAAGAACCAATAGATCTGTTTTGGAAGAAGTGCGGCCAGAGTGCTCATTGGAAGCCAGGATGGCCAGGCGTCATCTTTCATATTTTGGACATGTTGTCAGGAGGGATCAGTCGCTGGAGAAGAATGTCATGTTTGGTAAAGGTGGAGGGTCAGAGGAAAAGAGGAAGACCCTTAATGAGATGGATTGGCCAGGTGGCAGCATCGATGGACTCAAGCGTGGCAACAGTAATGAGGCTGGCCCAAGACCGGGCAGTATTTCATTCTGCTGTGCACGGGGTCACTATGAGTCAGTACCGACTTGATGGCACCTAACAACAACAATCAAACGGTACTTAACAACAACATTTCTGTAGAAGGTGGAAAATGAGCTTTCACTTTACCCGTCCTCCCTAACCTTCCCCTCATGCAAGAATTTGCCAATGCTGCCATTTTACTGTCCATGTAAGATGAGTGGGCCCATATGACAAAGGAGTCATGAATAAATTGACAGTTAAAAGTTGGCTGTATACTTACATACATTGAAAAAGAGTTACACCTCCATACCACATTGAGAGCATCCTCTTTTTCAAAGTGAAAACCTCCTCTTGCCTATTCCTTCTACCTTGTGAGTAGGAGACCAGGAAGAATATAGTTCTATCATTATATTTTGCTGCCTTCTTTATTCTAACCTGGGAATCCTCTTCTGCCAAGCTTCATTTTTTTTTTTTTTTTCCTACTCAGGCATATATAATAATTTACATCTCCAAAG